TTATATGTGCATGCACATCCATAAATAATAGAAATGGATGTTTACTTTCACTTAGGACTCTAGCAATTTTGAAATTTGCAGTTTTCCTGTTACATATCTATTTTTAAATTAAACGTTTTTTCTTTAAAAATTTTTATTAGTATTTTGAAAATTTCATACAATGTCTTTTGATCACATTCATCTCCTCCTTAGACTCCTTCCAGACCCAACTTTGTGTCCTTGTATTTTCATCCATCAAATCCAATTGCAGCCCACATATTTGTGAACAACAACAACAAAATTATATGTATGTCTGTGTGGGTCTATTACACATGAGTGCCCCATGCCTGTGTAGGCCAGAGAGGGTGCTGGATTCTCTCAATTGGGGTTACAGGTAGTTGTGTGGGTGCTGGGAACCAAAGTCTGGTCTTTGGGAAGAGCAGCAAGTGCCCTTGATCACTAAGCCAGCTCTCTAGTCCCATGGGGCTCTATTCTTATTTCTTCAAAAAATTCTGCCTTCCCTGACCCTTGAGTTTGAAGGAAAAAATCTCTTCCAGGCTTCTAGAGCACTCTGAATACTTTTCAAACATAACATAGAACACAACATACTGTAATTCTTCATTAATCTGTTTGAATCTCTTTCCAGCCTTAAGTCTTTTAGGGAAGAATCTGTGTCCATCCCTCCCCATCCCGAGTTTATCTTCTCATCCCTTGTAACTTACAGTATCACACAGTACATGCTCAATAAACTTTAGCTGCATGGATGAAGGAAGTCATTAGTATTTTGTTTTTCTTGTGTGCAAAGGAGGTTTAGTCTAATACTTGTAGTTTCTTAGACTCATCATGGAGTAATCTTTAAGGCCTTTCTTTTGTAAGTTAGCTGGATTTTGGGGTCCTCAAGGCATAATCATCCTACTGCCTACACAAGACTTTTGGGAGCTTTACTATCTGCATGCTATACACAAAGCAAAGACTATTGCCCATAGCCCTGGGTAGTTTGTTTCCAACAACTTAATTTCCTGCTGGCATTTTACAAAATCTCTAAGTATTTCAAGACCAATGCAGCCTTCATCTATCTTCTTGTTAACACTTTAATGTAAATATATGACCACTTCTAATGCTGTATGCCAGGAATTATTCTCTTAATTGGAGACATCCTTTATAAACAAATCAGTTTGTGCAACTATGTAGCTTGGTATTTCTGGCTAGGTCCCCTCTTCTGTTTTTTTTTTTTTTTGTTGTTTTTTTTTTTTTTTTCTGAGGAGCTTCTGTGGTACTTTTACAGACTTCCAGGGCTCTGTAAATCCCATTGAGTAAACCACTGGTTTGTTAGCTTGGTCACAAGGAGTAGCACTGGTTTGTATAAAACTTTACAAACTCAATTTATGAATGTTAAAGAAGCATATGTTGCTTCAAGATGAAAATTCTTAATTTTTTTTTGAAATTCTATCTGTCCGTCTGTCCATCCATCCATGTATGTGTATGGGTATCTTGCCTACTTGTATGTTTATGGACCACTGTGTGTCTGATGCCCATGGAGGCCAGAAGAGGGCACTGGATCACCTGGGACTGGAGTTACAAACGATTTAGAGCTATGGGTGCTGGGAATTGAATCCAGGTCCTCTGCTGAGCCATCTCTCAGCTCAAAATGTAAATTTTTTCAGTGAAGAGAATAATCATAGTTTATTCCAGCTATTTTTAAAGTTTAATTTTTTTACAAGCCAAGCTTCCTAAAAATCAGCTACCAAAGGAAGGAACACAAGCAATTCCATGCTGGCCAGCCTCATGAAAACCAGCAGTGTTTCTCCCCTCTGTGCGCTCTTCAACCAACAGATGTCACTAAAGGTACCAGTACCCAGAGGCAACGGGAAGAAAAGATTAAACAAATGGAAAGTGAGCATAAAAACATCCACTTCTTAAAACTGAGAAGTAGGTTTCCAGAGTAATAACATTTATTACACTGCATGCAACATTTTAACCAAAAATTTAGAGAAAGAAATTTCTTTTATTAAGTTGCTCAGGCTGAAGGATCATTGCACTAAGTTTTGAAATACATGTTCTTGAAGCAATTTAAAACTCATTAGAAATAATAGGCTAGGGCTAGTAGAAAATGTGGTAAAATTTAATCCTCATCCAAATGTTACCTGGGCTGTACAAACAGGAAATTGTTTTGTGCTACTGTGGCTAACCTCAGTGCTGACCCTGAGCTGTAACAGCAAGAGCAGCTGAGAGCTGAAGCAAAATTAAAAACTTACATCAAAGTATATCATGACAGAATGTAGATAAATAAAACAGCATATCAAAAGTATTATTTTTCTGCCAGTCTCACAGAGCAGTGAAGAAGAGATGGTCCATAAAATGTGTAATAAATCAGGTGTATTAAGCAATGAGCCCTCTCTAGTACCACCCCATTCCTGACTACCCAAACATTATCCAGGAGAGATGAAGCTCCCAGGGAGCTCAAAGAGGATGGGGACAGAGGCCCTTAGGTTCCCCTGTCCTTCACCTTGGATAACCCAACAAGCATTCCACGGCCTGCTCAGCCGCGCTGTCACTCTTTCATCTTCCAGACTCCTAGATGGCAACCGTGTGATCTCCCTCCAACAAGCATGCCAGACTCTCCAGAGGAAAAGCATGGCAAGAAAATATTTCAGACCTCAGAAGGCTGGAAGTCAGCATGGGATTCCATGGAGAATGGGGGACAGTCTTGCATTCTTCTATGCGAAGAGCATGTGTTAAAGTCAATGGTAACACAGTTGGAGGTAAGTTTTCCCACTTGGACCTTTGGTTTCCCTTAAGTTTTAGGATGAAAATCACTAAAACACATAGTGCTTGTCATAAACTTCTTAAATCGTCCCAAGAGCAGGAAGGGATATGAAAAATGACTGTCTATAGTCACACTGACTTCCAGTGAAATTCCAACCTGACCAACTGACAGCTACACAACACCTGGCAAGCTTCTTAATGCCAACAGCTTCAATTTCAGTTTTGTGTTACAGTAATCACAGTGGCTAGTATGGTAGTTACAGTAACTATCTTCATCAGGGTTTCTAGTGCTGGGAAGAGACACCATGACCGGAGCGAAAACCTTTCATCAGGGCTGGCTTAGAGTTTAGTTTCAGAGGTTTAGTCCATTATCATCATGGCAGGAAACATGGTGCTGGAGAAGGAGCTGAGAGTTCTACAACTTGGTTCACAGGCGACACAAGAAGAGAGTGCCACACTGGGCATTGCTTGAACATATAAAACCTCACTCTAAGCTCACCCCTACAATAGCACACTTCCTCCAACAAGGCCACACCTCCTAGTGGTGCCAGAGTCTATAGGAGCCATACCTATTCAAACTACCACAGTAATTACACTGCTAACTGGTCTAAGGTCTTTCAGGACAGTATCTGACTCAATTCTTTACAACCACCTCCAGCTTACCCAAGGTCAGGGAACCAGCAATACCTGTTCTGAGGACTTGAGGAATGGATGACAAATGACTTAATAGAGCATTTGTTGTCATTTGCATCCTTGATGATGATCCTTCTGACTGGGCTGAGATGGAATCTCAGTAGTTTTATCTGCATTTCCCTCATGGAAACACGTTGAACTTCGTTACGTTAAAAAAAAAGGTTTGAATACGTTAAAAAAAAAGGTTTGTGGTCCACTCCATAGGAGGGAATCCATGTCTAGTACTATATGCTCAGTCCCAAATCCATGACTGAACAGGTCTCAGGCCCCACTGTGGAATCTAATACCGCCACTTTGCTGAACCAACCCAGCATCAAGTCATCTAGATACCATGCTTATACCTGCAGACAAAAGTTACTTACTAATCAGAGCAGCCTCTTCCTACAGTGAATGGAAGTGACTGCAAAGATCCATGGCTTCAAAAAATGCTGAAGGTAAAGGGTGGCGGAAGGCTCTACCCTAAATAAGACATCTGCAGATAAAGGGTGGCTGAAGGCTCTACCCTAAATAAGACACCACCCACTTAAGGCTCAGGGAACACACTGCAAAGAGGAGGCAGAAAGAACCACAGAGCTGAAAGGGAGTGGGAAGGGCTGCAAATCACCATCTTGGAAGCATGACACGACCATGGCAATATCATGAACTCACTGCAGCTGTGTGTGCTGGCGCTGGGTCCACAAAAGTCAGACCCTCAACAGTCAGCTATGGGTGGGGAAGGGATTCATGGAGCCTCCACTTACTGCACGTCTACTGGAAACTAACTGATTCTGGGGGACGGGGCAGCGTTCAGTTGTCCCCACTGGTGGGTACAATGCCCACAAGCTCTGAAGCTTAGTTCTGAACCCAGCATCACACCACTTCTACAGGACACAAAACAAAATAAAAACTAACAAACATGGGCAAGAGTACTAAAAGGAAGGGGCTATCAGGGGAATATGGAGGGTCTGGAAAGACAGTGACCAGAATACAGTACATACATGTATGAAATTGTTAAACAAAAAAGAAATGAATGCTTATAACTCAAAAAAAGTCTCGACAAGAAAATTAATGAAGTTGTCTTAATTGGCAAGTGTTAGGGATAATGGTAGTTCTTAGGCTTAAACTGCTAAATAAATTGTAAAAAAACTTTAATGTGATTGACTAGAACAATCTTGACTCGGGAACTCTACTTCTAGTAGTACAGAACCAAAATGTACTATTTCTTGTAATATTGTAATAAACACTGACTGCCGTTTGCCAGGGTATTTCCTGACAAAGTTGTCTAAGAATTCACAGACCCAAGACAGCAAATTCCTTGATATAAAATTGAGAAATTATGAATACACTATAACTTTAAAAAGTCTACTGTATTTTTTACTACTGACATTGGAATTTTATCCCAAAGAAATGCATCAAGTTGGCCAGGATGTCATTACCTCTCCCGAGTGATGCTTTCTGCGCTATTACTCACCCCACAAATTCATACAGATACGGAGGTTCGGAAGAATGAAGCAGTGAGCCTGCTTCCCTCCAGGAGCAGGTGAAGGTACCCTGCAGAGAGCAGTGTGTAAGGAGGTATTTACCATAAGTGCAAATCATTTTGCTTGCTTCTCTGAAGAGAAGAATTCCATTAGGAGAGGATACATCAAAATTCAAACGCTGAGACCTAAGAAACATAGCAAAAATCAGACTACTCCTGCAGATAAAGAAACCAAATATCAGCATGTCTAGCAATTTCATTTACAAGAAGCAGCTCAGTACCAATTATTCTATAAAGAGCCACTCCAATGGAACAGCTACTGATAAAATATATACAATAATTTCTTCACTACTGGTTGATTCAAAGGGTTCATTTTTTAATTTATCAAAATAATATCCTAATATTTTATATCACAGACCTTCTATCTCTTCTCCTTTCATGCAAAGTGGCTGATGGATAATTTTTTAAAAACTATTAAGTTACAAACTTGCTATCTCCCACAGTATAAATCATATCTTTAAAAAAATTCTAGAGTGACAGGAGATGCAGGATCTTTTAGTAATGCACAAATGGAAACTGGGTCATTTCACAAATGTAACACATTTCAAATATACTACACAATATAGACCATAGTTTAAACTGTACACAGCTGAGCTAATAAGAAATAAATTCTACAAGTTCTGAGAAAAACTTTGTTTCCCTGGCTCCCCACAGGTGGAGAGCACTTTGAACAGAGTAAGGGATCCACAAGCTTTCTCATGTACTAGCTGCTTTTAGCACCTCCCTGCCTCACTTGGCTCTGTCATGCTGCTATGCCTTCAAGATACAATGGAATGTCTTTAAACAATGCTGCAAGAAACAAAATAAAACAAAACACCAACTAATTGTCCAACAAACCAAAAAAAAAAAAAAAAACTACCTCGCAAACCACAGGCAAAGCATTGCTAATGTTCTGTTTGCTAAGCAAATTGCTGCTTTTCAAAATTAGTACCATAATAACTGAATAGAAAATGCAAATATGTAATTCACACTAGATTCTAGAGAAATCTGTACATAGTATTTCATGAAATAAAAATTCCTTTTTTGTTTTTGGTTTTTCGAGACAGGGTTTTTCTGTGTAGCTTTGGAGCCTGCCCTGGAACTTGCTCTTTAGCCTAGGCTGGCCTCGAACTCACAGAGATCTGACTGCCTCTGCCTCCCAAGTGCTGGGATTAAAGTTGTGCACTACCACCACCGGAGAAATACAAATTCTTATATGGCAATTGTTGAGTCATCTGTGCTATTACCTGTTATGGCAGACACAAAATGCTTTATAACACAGAAAATTATTTTTTCTATTAAATGCTATTTTGTAATGTATGTCTAATTAACAATTTTAATTATAAATAATCCACATTTCTAATATTAAATATAAAGTCCATATTCTCTGAATATTTAAGGTACTTGAGAAAAAACTAAAACAAAACAAAAAAAAACTAAGCGCTTTCAAAAAAAAGAAAATACATTTCTTTCACAAATCTTTGTCCATCTTTCACTTAAGAGAAAAAAACTGAATTATTGCTGTGAACAACTCAGCAACAGAGGGAAGCTGGGCTGCAACCCATACTCCTTCCCCGCCTGGCTGTCTGCCAGAGGCACTACGGAAACAGGTGACAGGTACCTGGTGCCAGGCCACATCCACAACGGCACATGTGAAAGAGGCAAACACAGGAGGTTGCTGCAGTGCCCCACCCCTTTGCCAGATCATGGTTAGTATTTATAAATGCAGTGCTCTGCACAATCAGAAGGTCTGAGAAGTGTTGTGGCTGCAAATACATGTACCCAACACAGAAGGATGCTCAGAGGTAAGCAGAGACATCTTTACAGTTCCTGGGCAGACAACCATCTGCCAGTGAACTGCCCTGAGACTCAATTTCCTTACTCATAAAGTAAAACCTCTTGCTGGGGATGCTGTGAATGTGTTGCACTGATTGATTGATAAATAAAACGCTGATTGGCCAGTAGCCAGCCAGGAAGTATAGTGTAGGCAGGATAAGGAGAGAGGAAAATTCTGGGAGTTGGAAGGCTGAGTCAGGAGAAGCTGCTAGCCGCCGCCACCGCCATGAGAAGCAAGATGTAAGGTACCAGTAAGCCACCAGCCATGTAGCAACTTATAGATTAATAGAAATGTGTTAATTTAAGATGTAAGATCTAGCTAGCAAGAAGCCTGCCACGGCCATATGGTTTGTAAGTAATGTAAGTCTCTGTGTGTTTACTTGGGACTGAGCGGGACTGGAGAAAACTCCAGCTACAACCTCTCAACTCAGAGATCACATTTCCTTATTTAAAATTCTACAGAATTTTAGCTAAGCAAAGAAGTAGTTAAAATACAACCCCCCTCCATTTTGTGACTTTGAGTATTTTAAATAACAGTGGCTGTAGTCTTTCAACTTTCCCTATTTCCCAAAGTTTCTGTCTATGAAATATACTACTCATTCTTCGTCTTTTTCAGACCCACACCCCTACAGTATATGGTAACTTTCTTCCTTTCAAAGCTCATGTCTGTTGCTATCACAGACCGCTGTCTTGGACTCTTGACTGACAATCCCCAGCAGGCAGCTGCGAGCTCTGCAAACTGCACAGCTGTCTGCGGACTGCACAGCTGCTTACCTGTTTTGCATCAGTTCTGCTAGAAGTTTTAAGATAGGAGTAGTACATGCTGGTTCTCCATACCATCGCTCAATAGCTCTCTGAAGAACTGGGAGATATGCTGGATACCTAAAAAGTCTGTTAAAGAATTTGGGGCAAAGAACCTGAAATGTCGCTTAGTGACAGAAGACCCAAGTAACATGCACAAAGTCCTGGATACCATCTCCCCAAGTAACAACAAAACGAAAACTTATTACTGTAAATTAGTGGCATTTTAAAACAAGCAAGTAAACAAACAGAAATCCACATTTCTTTTGTTTCGTGGACAATGGCATTATATAAATTACTCTTTTTTAACTATACAGCTATACTTTTGGGGTAGTTACAAAGTTTGAACCTATTTGTCCCCATAAATTAAATTGTTTTATTCCTGGTATTAGGTATAAGTCAAAGATATACTTTTAAATAGCAGGTAAGTAATATGCTTAAAGAATTATGCTTAATGTTATAGGGAAGAAAAATAAATTTAGCTAAGAGGAATAAAAATATATTTGAGTCATTATTTTTGGGGCTTCTGAGTATTATACTGAGAAAAAGACTTCTTACTATGAAAAGTTAAAAAACACAAAAGCCTAGAGAAATAACAGTAAATATTACAGATCTACCCCTGCTTCAAGATCACCTACTGTCTTTTTCTTTTTAATTTAGTTGTTGACATCTCTGTTTTGGTACCACTGGAGCTCCAAGAAACATCTGGGTTGTCTGTTACCCTGTATAAAGGATCTGACCTGCTATTAATATGCCACCTTCCGGGCACCACATTACTTGTTAGCTCTGTAGATGGTGGTGGTTCCAACCTCCTCAATGCCACTGTTGCTAAGAGTAGCTCAATGTCCATGCAGGCATTCTTTCTCTCTCTAGGATCTTTCTATGACATAGCTCTGGCTGTCCTAGAACTCATCAGTTAGACCAAGGTGGCCCTGAACTCACAGAGATCCACCTGCCTCTGCTTCCTGAGTGCAGGGATTAAAGGTGTGTGCCAACATGGCTGGCCTGCTAAGCACTCTTGTTAATACATATAACATAATAATAAACCTCTGATGCACCTAGCCAGAGATGCACAGTATGAAAACCTGACTTATCTCTGCTGGCTTCACTTGGCCTCCTTCTTAGCAAATGGACAACATAGGAGTCACGTGTGTGTTTGTTTCAGATGAAAGTGCTGAACTGGATCACCAGTTCTTTTTGTGTGGTTTGGACAGAGCTCTATGGTGAAAAACCTCAACATTACAACACTCACCTGCCCTGTCACCCACCCACCCAATCAAGTTCCTCATCAAGGCATAAAGGCTGTTCTGCCTCCAACCTCAACATTTCTGCCCTATGTACAGGTGGGCTTGTCCCAACTCCCTGCACATTATGGGACTCCACTACTTGTGCCCATTTTCCTATATGCTGCTTCCCTCGGCCTCATCCCATCTTCTAATAACCAGCTCATGTTCTACGTCTCTGGGACGTCTTCTCTATTTTTGTCAAAAGGCACCAATCTCTTCTTCACCTATGCTCAATGGGCACTCCTGACCACATCCTCTGAGAATCAGGGCTGGCTGTTTGCAAGACTTGCCTGTCCCATTAGCTTTGAAAGAGCTGAGATTCATGCTCCACAACCATCTCTTCCCTTATATTCCAAAACAGCTGCCAATGATTCCTGAAAGCCTTTCCCAGCATCACTCTACCTGCTAGCCTATCTGGGTGGGAGAAGGCCTAGGTATGGCCCTGCTGGCCCTACCGCAGAACCTATCTCTCCATTCCAAGTGCTATGAGTGCATAGGTCGTCTCCTATGGACAGGTTCAGTACAACGCAGGCCTCAGTATTTGCTGTTGTAAACCTACAAAGGAGCTAGAGCCTACATGGATAGAAGTGTGTCTTCACTGTTTAAACAGCACTTCGTGCTGAGCTTTAAGAAGCCACTTCTACAATAGTGAAAATAAGCCCTCCACAGCCTATAGTGTTGGGCCTCTACAAGTGGGACAGCAGCAGTTTCCCAGGAGAGACAGTATGCTCAGGCTGCATCCCCCAAAACAGTTTCCATAACAAGTATTTGCGAAGCCCTCCACAAGTGTACTGTTTTAGAGTCTCCAGAGATACCAGTGAACAAAAACATTAGGAAAATGCCTTCCCTTATGGGATTTATATCCTAATAATCAGGAAGTAAAGTAAATATACATGCTAGAAAATACCACAAAGGAAAAGGGCAGGGAGTGAAGACAGGAAGCAAGTGGGTATGTTTAAGTGAAGAGTCGGATGAAAATGATAAAAATAAAAACTAGTGTTTGATCCTCAGAACCTATATGATGGAAAGAGTGAGTTGTATTCTGATGTCTATATATGTACTGTGATGCGTGTATGCATACACACATACACACACACACACACACACACACACACACATGCACAAACCCCCCCCCAAAAAAACCCTAACTTGACCAGAAATTTGATCTGAACTGTCAGATAGTTTACTGTTTCTCTCTAAGTACTAGGAAAGCTGTTATTGTTTAATAGACACTAGATACTACATACTATGAACTGTGTTAAGGACCAGGGATCTAGAAAGAAGAAGACATAGTTTTTATCATACTTCATCAGAGTGGCAGGTGTGTAAAGGATGCTCTCCTAGTTTGGGAAAGAAATAGCCTAAGTACAAACTCTGGGATCATCAGGAAACAGATACAAACTTCCAAATCTAAGCGCACTGGAGGCCCACATAGTCCACCTTGCAAACTACTCTAAAGACAGAGCACCATGGTTTTTTAGAGCATGCTGTATTCACACTGGGATAAGACCAGGGGATATGAGGGGATGCTCTCTTTTCTGTGTGGAATGAGAGCAGTGACAATTCTAATATGCTTCTGACAGAGGTGACTGCCACAGAGAAAATGAGTGATTATTGGAAAGCAGAGCAGAGGTCTACTAAGCAGGGAGGTTAAAAGGGCTTCGGAGTGAGAGTGCCAGGCTCAGATTACAGAGTGAGAATCAAAACCCAAGTTTAATTTTCCAGTGGCCTGGTGAGGACTACATATATGTGAGCAGGAGGAAGAGAAGAGGAGCCCTTAGGTAGAAGGGGCCTCGATCTAATTTCTTTCACCTAAATCTTCTCAATGAACACCAAAAGTCTGCATTAGACAAATGAAAAGAATCCAAGACACTAATGGTGACATCAGCAGACAGGATGCTGAGTATGAGAAAGCGGCGAGCATCAGCTTTACTTCCACTCATGTGTCCTCCCAGTAAACCACTCAGTCATCATGAGTTTCTAGGGGCTGCACCACAAAGAAAAGTAGTAAGGAGAAAAACCACAACTGTTTTCTTTGTAGATTTAATAGTAGAAAAAGTGATCTAGGTAATTTTAAAAAAGCGTGAAAGAAAATAAAAAGGGCCAGCATGATTGCTCACTGGGTAAAGGTGCTTCTGCTGCATCTGATGACTTGAACTTAATACTCAGGACCCCTGTGGTATAGGAAAGAACTAATTCCCACAGGCTGTCCTCTAACTTCCATTTGTGTGTGCCATGGCACGAGCATGCATGTGCGCGCGCACACACAAAATAAATAAAATGAACATAATTAGGAAAGATGAGAAAGCATTGTAATACATAAAACAATGTGAGTTTTTTTTTTTCATTAAACTGTTAGGGAATCAGGGTTTGAGGCTGTGGTCTAGACTAGAAAGAGTCTAGCAGTTCAGAGGCTATCTTAAGGTACTCCAGGAACATGCCAATGTCTTTGCTGTGTCCATGAGGGACATGTGCTGTGTGACACCTTTCCTCTCTCCTGGCTGGTAACCCATCTTTTCAAGCTTATTGCGACTTTTGGTTTCCTGGGAAACCTCTCCCATTTTGCCTAAAATAATTGTCAATTTTTCACAAATGTTCATGTGATCCTTTACACATGTCTCTGTTATAACACATGTGCACTTAGTTGGTCAACAAGGGTTCCTTTTGCATGCTTACTTAATCACAAACTTCTAAAGAGCAGAAATTTATTCTTGTATTTCTTATGCATAAAACCCCCATTCCAAAGAATGCTGGCTCAATGGTGGCTTCTTTAGGTTTTGTTTCTTCTCCTGTTTAACTTGTTTCACATACAATGCCAATTACTTTCTAATTGAGATATATTTCTGATTATGTTGATCAATCAAAGTCATCAGAACTTATTCTACAGGTTCCATGCTGCCTGTACAACATGGGTATACATTCTGGAGTCTGACAGTCAAGGGTCCCAGACAACCTGTTTCTCTAACCATGAGGTAAGCCATGTCCTAATGAAGCATCTTTATTACCCCTCCTCAAGTGATGATCACCTGAAACGGTCTCTTCTTAACTTTCTAGGGTCCAGTCTTACTTGACCTAGCAAGAGTTAGATGACAGGGTCACCTTTACAGGGCCTTCCTGACGCCCAGATAAACGACATCTCTTCCCTGTCTGTGTTCTTGTTATAGCATCTACAGCTTCCTATGTTGTTGTAAGTCAGTCACACACAGGACTCGTTTCAACTAAAATGTTCCTCTGAGGTAAGAATTCTGTGTCAGTAACCTATACTGTTCTTAGAACCAAGCACACCATGCCACGGAAGCCCACTTTGCTGATTAAGCAAGCAAGTATGAGTCCTTTGTTAATTGTTTTAGGAAAAGAAGTGACAGTGGAGACAGTTATTTGTACCAGACATTTCAGTAGGACCTTTACATAACCACACCATCACAACAATTCTTACAAGGGAACTACAAGATGGAGATTATTAGCCTTATCTCATGGAACTGTGACTCAGAGACTCAAAGTAATGTACCCAAGACCCACAGGTCGTGAAATGGTAAAACCAAGGCTAGAGTTTAAGACTGTCTTATTAGGGAGCTCTTAGGTGTTCTTCTGCATCTCCCATAGTCTTGCTTTGGGTTTGTGTATGTGCTTATGATGTTAATAAACAGCACTGACTGCCTGTGTGAGCTCACAACATCATGAAAATCAAGAGTGCATGGAAATGATACTCACATTTGCTTATTTTTTCAGTTTCCCTCGGGACTCTTGACACCTTAATCTAAGTATAGCCTGGGAAAGGTTTAAATAATGTCTTTCAATGCACTCTAAGGTAGTTTTCTTATTGTTGCATACTTACTTTAGGGGCAAAGGTATAAACGAATGATTTCTTGCTGAATTCTCTAGTCATGGGAAAATTACCAAGATGGTTGCTGTGTGGTTTCAGGCCATTTAGTTTTGGAAGGATGGAGTGATAAGCAATGCAGTTTGTGTAACAGCTAATGCAGTCAGTGTTCATAGAGATGCTTCTGAATTAAATAGCTAAACACTAAAATAGCATTTTATCAAACAATCATCATAAATAAAGTGTATTTTGACTTTACGATGACATGTGCTCTTACAGGAATGTTTCTTCTGCAAGCTAAGGATTGCATAACAAATTAAGAACACACATCTATGTGGAGAAGAGGCAAATAAACTTTCCCCAGCAGTAATGTGGGAATCATCACTGACGGCTTGACATATCAATATTTCAGGAAGAATAAATGACTTTCATATCCGCATTTTTAAAAAATCATATACTTATTCATTTTTGCATTACTTGAATACTTTGGAAAGAATCTGTACTTTATCACCTGAAACTGTTAAAAGTATTTCAAAATATTTTAATAAAGCTTTTTGAATGATCAAATAATGTAACTTTTAAACAAATTTTACTATTATTATAAATATTTGCTCTTCATCCCTTGCCCAAAGGAAAACTATAAATCTTGTCTCAACTGAATGAACACCATTTATCATATTCATTTTGTTGTCAATACAATTATGAAAAGCCTTTGGCCTTTTCCCAAGGAAGCTGATTTGCTACTGAAACTCAATTATTATAAGCAAGGCCAGTAGCGAGCCACTGCGTCTGGCAGTGTAGCACAGCTTGCCGCTTAAGTGACATCTCGCCCTTTGCTCCTGACCCCAATAACTTCAACGTCTATGGTCAAATGGAAGAGATACTGGTTTCTAGTTCAAAACAAAACACCACATCCCAAGATTTTCCGTTTCTGCCATCTGCTGGACAAATGCTGAAATGGAAACCAGATTATATTTATTGACACAGGAGGGAGTTTCTGACCTTGGCTCTTCTTAGAACTGGTGAACAGGAAAAAACCCCATTAACTCTTGGACAGGCTGGCTTTAGAGCCTGTTTTCAAGTGAATTAGCAATTTTTCATACCAAAATTAGGCTTTTATGATTTTCCACATAAAAGAAAGTTTTGATTTTGGAAATGGGTGTATAGAGAAATAAAACAGTCATATGTATCTGGTCTATCCTTATTAGATTAAATTAAGACTTTCTAATGATTAAATTTATAACCTCTGGACACATACATTATATGAATAAGTCATGTAGTTGAGTCTTCAGGGCCATGAAAAAATCTTATCTGTATGATCTCTAAGAAAATAAATGAGGAAGTAGGTTTCCATAGCAACTAAAACCATAAGTCACTAATACTCTACTAACATCAGAGTTCAAAAATTTTCATAATGTGTGGTGATCTAAAATATGCTCAGATCTGTTATGTTTCGGGCCTAACTATGGCACAGTCACTGTACATTGCTCTTAAGACGTTTCCTTTACAAAATATAAAGAAAGTTAGTATAAGAAAGACTTAAATAAAGCAAGAGAGAAATAGTACCCCTCAAATGTAAATTAAGTTGGGCATGTTACAGGTCTGTAATCTCAATACTTAGGTGGCTGAGGCAGGAAGACCAGATTAAGTTCATCCTTGGTTCCATGTCAAGTCTGAGGTCAACCTGGACTACACGAAACACTGTTTCAAGCAAGAAAGCCATAAAATAAAACAAGTCAGTTTGCTTTAAAGTAGAGTTTTCTTAGGTGCTGCTAGTTTCAAATATAAAGGGCATGAAGCTATCATACTTCAATGACTTGTATAAACAGTCATCTCCTGTTAGGATCAAAGATGACTCAGGGTACTAGTACCATGTTAAAAATGTTTATGGTCATTGTGTGTGTGTCAGGCATCAGACAGAATGTTTACTTATCTTAGTGGCCACAGTAAGCCAGGATACTAGACTGTTTCCTTTGCTGGATGATGACCTCAAGTCTCTGAGAAATAGAATGATTTGCTGAGGTTTACACAGTAATTGAAGAGCTAGGATTTCAAACCTCATCTGTCTCTCTTTATTCTTATGTGATGAAGCATTTCTATATAGGGATTCCCCTCCTCCCATCTATACCATGGTTTAGTAATGGTAAATTCAAATTTTATAGCAAATGACAAATCCTGGACATTTATCCCCAACACCTTCATGACTGTTAACATCCTCATCAGATGGCCAACTGTAGCATTATGAGTAAAATCTTGAAAAGATAAACTAACCTTCTCAGCCCTGCTAATTGAGATGGAACAGAGACTTCAAAGTCTCCTCAGAAAATACCACATGGTACAAATCACTGATCACAAGTACAGATATTAGCTACATGATGCCTGCAGCCCCAACATAAACAATCATTTGAGGGAAGTGATTTTTAAGTTGTCAATATTTAATGGTATCTATCAAAAACGTGACCTCTTTGAGCTGGGTCTCCAAATGCTGTGCTCAGTTATCTGCACTGCTGCCACTGTGCTGTAATTTTTAGCTGATTACACATTAGTTCATTTAGCTTTGTTTCCTCTCCCCTACTGTGCCACACTATTAAACGAAAGAGAGGGGCCTGGCATCCCTCTGTGCACAGAGCTGGTATTGTCACAGTGTAATAAGGATACATCCAGTCAAACAGCATGGTGTAGCTGGTCTTTGTGTTCAGTGCAAAGGCAATCCCTCGAAGATCTCTTGCCAGCCCGATCAACATACGCTGTCAGTGGGAAAGAGACACAGTAATTGATTTTCACGTTAGCGCAGAGCAGATGGAGTAATAATCAGGCAATAATGACCACATATCTGATTCTGATTCATTAGCTAAAATGTCTCGCTCAGATCCCTTTCCATAGAAAACCATAGACTCTTTAATAAACAGACCATCAATCTGCTGACCAACTCCACTTTGCTTCTTATAAATTGAGCTAATTCTTAATTCCAGGAGCACAGAAACATTGAGACGCAATATATGTTTTATCTGAATACTGCCAAATTAAAAAAAAAAAAACAAAATAAAATAGGACTCATAATTTCACAAGAGATATATAGTCTAGACATTATTTAATAACAAATCTCAACCAACTGGCTTGACTAAAATCAATCTCACTATACAATTTAGTCTGCCCTAGAAACTCACTGGCATTTAAAGACCCCAAAGAAAAGTTGCAATAACTCAGGACAAGAGGTGACCTACTGCATTATGATATACTCAGAAAGGAAGCCATATTGTTCAAGTTAGTGAATGATGTAAGGAAAAAAGTTCTGTATTTAATGTCATAAGACTCTGAAATTGAACTCTTTGTTTAATTCTTAAAGGCAAGGCAGTTTACCCATTAGTTTCCTCATCTATCAAAGGGGCTAATTATAATTATGGCCATTCTATAGACCTGCTATGAGAAATCTGTTTGTGTGCAAAAATGCCTAGCAATAGCTTGACAAATAGTAAGTGTGGTTCACAAATGGTTTTAGAAGGGAGAGGGGGAAGCCATACCAAACCTCCTTGACATGAATAGAAAAGATCTGACTCATACTCTGGACTCTTAATTAAGCTGTCCTTAGGATGATGATTGGGAAGAGAAAAGAAACCCGTGAACAGATGCTAGAATGTCAGAACAAAGAGCACGAATAAACATAATTGCCCAACAAGGAGGTGGGATTGCTGAGATATGCAACTGTGATTTCTGAATATACTGCTTCAGTAGAAATGGTAAGCCAGAAGACAGTCTCAGGATCTCTACAGACTGACTTTGGTAATGAATAGAAATCTGTCTAGTAAGATGCCTAAGTTATCAAGTAGGCAATGAATTTTGACCATCTTAATTACGGAGGACATTTCAAAGGAACAAATTATAGCAAGCAGTCAGACATTCTGCTCCTCCTACCTAAGAGGCATCTCAATGTACCTGGATGTTGTCCAGGGGACGACTCAATTTCTATTTCTAACAGTTTACAGAATGATGGGAACCCAAAGTTCTGAATCTGAAAACTCCTAATTTCAATTTTTTCTGCTTAAAATGACTCATTTAGTGTTCTCCCATAACATCATCAGCTTCTGCTCTTCTATAGTCACCAGGCCTCCTCACAATTACCTCATGTTACTGCTACTTTTTAAAATTGCTTATTATTCAGTTTTTTTTTCTCACCAGTTAGAACTAGTCCCTTTCTCAGCTTCCTTCTTTCTTTGCAGCCTCCGAAACAAAATCTGCCATCTATGAAGCGCCCTCTGAACACTGGCATTCTGGCTGCCGTCTACGCTGTCCTATGGATTCTACTTGGCTTTGCCATTACAGCACTTTTTAAAAATTCTATTTTTATGTACATTTATACAGGCTACTCCAGGTAATTTTGAGTTTCCATATACATATAAGATATCCATTATTCAATTCTAAATTAGTGAATAAGAACCATGAATTTTACTTTATTCCTTGTACAAAGGGCTTTTCATAAAATGTCATCATACAAAAGGTTAATTTTTATTTGGTCAGACTTCCTTCCTTGAAGGTACCAAGTTGATATAAATGCTCTAATTAAGCAAACCTATGGTCTTTTTAATACAGTAAAATGTGGCCATAAAATTATACTAATGTTTTACTTTTGGAAAGTGTTACTTCAGAGCAGAGATAGCATATAACAAACTAAGCGTAAGTTTTAGATAGATTCACTTTTGCTGTAAAGTGTAATGTTAATGTAAGAAACAGATTCATTATATTAAAAAAATAGCAGTCCTCTCAGGGCAGCATAGAGTCTACACACATACATAAACAACTCTACAGGAGAATTTTCTCAATACTCAGCTCTGGTATGAAACAGACAGCCTTAACCAGGAGCTCACACTAGCTAGCAAATAACCCAGAATCTTGGGGGTGGGGAGCAGATCTAAAAGGTGATGAGTTCTAATAATTTTCTTGAGGTACATTTGAGGAGTGGGATAGGTCTAGTGATCTACTCCTATGGACTCCTTTTTAGAGAGTTCAAGAAGAAACTGCTGAGAGCTTCAGTCCGCGGCATGGTGAACAGTTGTCTGTGTGCCAAGTGTGAGACGGATGGGCTGGGAAACAGCTGAAACGCAGCTCCTTCCACCCTGACCCCCAAACAGGGTTTCTAATGGGAAGCCTGACAGACCCTTTACTGTAGTGGTACTACTGGGGCAGCTATAATATTATCCTCATAATTCTACTATATAATAACAACAAAGAAAAAGAAGGTGAAGGGTCATTGTGCTTTGTCTTTAGAATTAAGATGGCTGTCTTCATCCTTACAGCATACTCTTAATTCTGGAGACACATCTTAATAACCTCTAAATAGTTCCAACAAAAGAGCCGTGTCAGAGGAATGAGCAGGCCCCAAGGTGTTTCAACTGGAGTGTTTTCATCTGCCTTTATTGCTCTATCCCTCTCCAGAATTAAGGCAATAACCTGTGATAAATTATTCAGGAACTGCTACAGGGATCAAAGCAAAATCATTCTGTTAAAGTGCTGTTTGCAACATTTGGCACTTAGTGCGAAAACTTTTAATGTGCGCATGCTGAAAATCAAGGATTTTAAATAATTTAACATCGGGGAGTTTTTACGAAAGGACTAAAGATAGCAGGTTCCTATTTAACTGCTCCTCTTCCTCTGAGAAGTTTTTCATTCATTTTCCTTAAAACCCGTGACGTCATGGCTGAATTGAAAAATATGCATGGGCTAGGGTAACAGCACACTATATTTTAATATGGATAAAAGGATGGGGGTGGGTGGGAAGCATGAAACATTTTGAAATAATACTCCAGAATCAGGATTTGTTGTTTTTGTTTTTGTTTTGTTTTGTTTCTTTCTTTCCCCTTGACTTTGGAGAAAGAAAAACTGAAAACAAAACAAAACAAAATCTCAAGACAAAAATTCAACATTCTCTTCAATTTTATTAGGACTAAGTAAGGAAAACAAAGTTATAAATAAGGGCTTTTCAGCATTTCTTTCCCTCACAGTATCTCAGTTTGGCACCATAGGTCCTAAACTCTGCATTTGAAAAGTATCTATAAATAGGGATTTAGATGACCTGGTAAGGGCTGCAAATTAAATGAATTTGGCAGTCCTGAAGCATTTTCATAAAGATATTTTAACATCACCTCCTGTGGATTGGAATACTAAATACTTTATTGGAGGACAAAACAGAACTGTTTTTATCTTTAGTACTTGCAAAATGAAATACCTGAGAGCACCTTTGCATGTATTATTTATTCACCAGGATAGAAAAATAGCCTTAACCTAATAAATTACATTTAAGAGCATTAATGCAAAAGTTTTGTTTACGATAAAGCAACAGATTTCGTTCCTTATTGGTAGCTTTAAGCACCAAGTTTTCTTCATACAAATTAGACAGATGGTGCTTACAGTAGAATTTACTAAAGGTCTGTCACAACAAATGCAGCCAAGCTGCATATTTAATCACTGCAGAATCTTGTCTACCTGCAGCTGCCAACTGCTAATCCAATTTCCCTGATAAATGTGGCAAGAGACACGATCAGCAATAAAGAGCATCTAACTCCATTTTCCTGCAGGGCGTCTTTTGATGAACATTTAGGACGGAAGCACGGAGTGCACTGTGTGGCCTTGGTTCGTGGCAGCTGCATGCATTCTGAGGCACAGTTCTCAGGTTACTCACTTAATTCTGCTACTATCATTACGTTGCTATTGATCTCAGTAGCTGTTGCCTACACAGCATTACTCTAGATGAAGCTGAATCAGGCAGTTATCATGCATCAAACTTGCTCAAAAGCCTGGAGATTTCCCCTTAATTACTTGTGATTTTATTTGCAAATACCGTTAAAGTGTAATCAAGCAGTCACTTTCCAGGGTCGTTAAGAACTTGCTAGTTTAGGGATATATCACTGGAACTCCATTAAAAATGACTCTAGGAAGATGGTTTCTATCAAACTAGATGGAATTACATCTAAACAGGCTTGGAATATAATGAAATCTTCAAATGAGACAAATGTAATTTTTATAAAGATGGCAGTTTTTAACCTCACCAAATCTTTTTGGTAAGGGGCAGCAAGGGCTACTTAAAAGCTGCAAAGACTCTGTTGGTCAGAAGCATTTGGAGACATCTAAAAAATATAGTTAGTTTGGCTAGGAACTGACAAAGAATTCAGGAACACCATATAAACAAAGAAAAATTAAGATCTTACTTACTTTTTAAAATTTCATGACTATGTTATCCTGATAAGCATATAGTTCAAGAACTTTATTTTAAACTAAAAGGTATAGCATGTGGGTAATTATTTTGTTCACAGAAGAATTGTCTAAATATCAGTAGCGGCCACCCTTTTCTAATTGGTTTCATGGTATTTGTGTGCATGTATATGAGAGAAAGAATAAGAGAGGGAGGGAGGAAACGAGGAGAAGAGACGCCATGAAAGGATGGTTCATATTTCAACCTATTTCAAATAACAATGACACGCGACTAGGGCATCACCAACAAGGGTACCTACTTCTCTGGAGTGTATTTATTATTCTTAAAAATAATAATCAGTGCCAATCTATTTACTACAGCTCCAATACAGCGTAATTTCAGGAGACACTATTCCTGTTTGGCAAAGCTCCTGCTTCCCATCCCCCACATTAAAATATGGGGCTGTTCCGTCACAAACAGCTTGCTACACTTAAGGATTTTACTAATAAAACATAATGTTGTCTTAGATATTATGACTGTTGCCACAGCTGAACTGACTTGTCAAATCAATCCTAATATGGCTCCCACAGGCACATAAAGCCTTATTTAGCTATCAGTTATCCTAATCACTTTGTTCAGTTTAAGAAGGCAACACTTCAAGACTGGATCCTATTTATACACATATGCCTAGCCATTTAATAAAGTCTTGATTTATATAAATTCTTGTTTAAAAAATCTTCAGAGATGTAGGGTTTTAGCATGTGTGCATGTCTCTGTATGGATATGCTGAAACACACAGAGCAGGGTGAATGGGAGGGAGCAATGTTTAAAGTGGTTTGTCCACGAGAACTGTGCTATCACAGTGAGTGTGCATCGCTGGAGACAAATCTGCACCATCTGACCATGAACTGACTGTCCTAAGCCAGTCACTGACCTCACAGTTCATTTGCATCCGAAACTAGAAAAGTGCTTACATTAAAGCATGTCTCACAAGCATATTACTTAGAAATGTGGGCCCGAGACATACATATACAAATATATGAGAAACTTCTCTGGTGTTAGGCACTGAGAAAGAATACTTGTCATTCCTCATGTCTGGAAACAAACTCACCTTCACTACTTCTTGTTTAAAGTTGTTGTTGAATATTTGCAAAACTGTTTCAAAAGAGACTGTGAGAGGCAGCATAAAATTCTCAAATTCATCCTCATCTTCACCTACAGAAGAAACAAAAGGGTTGCTATGGTTTAAAACGCATGCTAATGTACATCAGCCTCAACACTGAGCGCTTCATTCAGGTTTAGAAATGTTCCTGTGAAGAGGTCAGCCTGCATCCCATCCATGCCACAACTGGTGCTTTGGCTCATTGAACATTCTAGTTTTTCTCTGTCCTTTACACCAAATGAAACAGCAACATCACTCAACAGCCATTTCACCCCTATCTTTTTACTGGCTCTTAACTGACTCATGCCCAGGCATTTCCACCCATCTTTACTTCTTGGGGCCCCCAGAGTTTCCCTACTTTCAAACATTCTCTCCTTTTCCTTTTTTCTCTTTTGGTGCCAAGGCTCCAAAGGGCTCACAGACTCAAGTGCTCAGATAGTCTAAGTTATTATTTTCTTTTATTTATATTCTTTAAAATATTAGCTTATGGGGACTGGAGAGATAACTGCCTCAGTAATTAAGAGCACTTGCTGCTCTTATAGAGGATCTGAGTTCTGCTCCCAACACCGACATCAGGCAGCTTACAACTGCCTCTAACTCTAGCTCCATGGGATCCAACACCCTCTTCTGGGGGCACACACTCTCAAATACACACACATACATAAATACAAACAAATCTTTAAAAATTAACTTATTAATAAATGACAAAAGGATGAAGTCCCCTCATGGTTCATTTAGATTTCAATTGTTCTCCACGGAACACTTCCTGTTCATTACAGACAAGAGTAAAAAGAGGTATTACCTATTAATTTTTCATATAAAGGTAGACCTATATTTTTCTTAAGAATTCTGTCAAAACAGAATCCTCACACACTAATAATACACATACTATTCTTTTCAAAATTGGTTTCTCTGAAATTAGATTGGACTCTGGTTCATCTTATGCCACAGGGAACCATTTACTAATGAAACAACAGAAAAAGCTTATATGTCTTGCTGAAAGTGCCACTTAGAAGAGAACTATATGGTTCAGACCTTTTGATTTCTGAGCTATTAGTGGTTTTAAAATACAGCATCTGATAGTAAACAACTTCAGAGAAGAGACTAGTGGTCCTCAATGGTTGATACTTGCCCTAGAAGCAGGACCATTACCTGGGGCTTATGACATGCCAACTTCTAGGTTCCAATCCAGACCTACTCTACTGCATCAGAATCTCTGGGGGCAGAGAACAGCAACTGTTTTAGCAAACTTTCCAGATGATTCAGACGCCTGTCAACTTTAGAGAAACTGACATACTCATCCTTATACAGATGATGAAGTCCAAGGTCCCCCCCCCCCCCCCCCACACACACACAATCAATAGTGGAGTTTTTGACTCTTCAGTGGTGGCTGATTTGGTTGACCCTCATTTTTTATGATTTCCCTCTCCCCTTAAAACCTATACAATTTGTCTTTAGAGTCCAACAGAATGGAGAACACAAAAAGATGCCAAAAGTCAATCAATCTTTCCTGGTATTCTAGCCATAGGTTAAGATCTTAGGTAAAGACTAAAGCAGGCCAATTTATAATCTCTGCTCTGTCAAGTGGCTATGTGACCATATCATTCTTCATATCCAGCACTGTTTGCCACAGAAGTTATTTTCAAGGCTTTCATCCAAAGATGTCATCTAAAGATGGCTACTCCCTTCCCAGACATTACATACAAGTACTTCATCTCCTTCCTATGTCTGTTGTATGTCCCCCTTACTTTTAATTACACATTTAATAATACCAGCAATACTGCAGCCACTTACATGATACCATCACCATTTGATCAAGGCCTCCGTGCACTGAAGGAGAGGAAATTTATAATGTGCATATGTAAATTTTTAACTACTAACCTACACTGGCCACTATCTTGGGCTTAGCCTCGGTGTGCTGCCATAGTGTGCTACTGTTTTGCTGTGATGGATGATTATGCAGGGCTCTATAGTACACAGATTTAGGAATCTGACTTTTACCACAAATTATTTAACCTTGGGTATTTTACTAATCTCTGAATCTCAGCTTCCTCATCTACAAAATAAAGATAAAACTATCTATCTTTAAGGTTTCTGTAAAGATTAAATGCTAAAATACATGAAAAACAGATGTTTCATATATACTATGACTTATAGTATTTATGTACTATTATTGCAGTATTAGCTCCGAAAACAGTGCCTTCTGTTACTAGGAAGGTACTATGTTTGAATGGAAAACAGTTGTTCAACAAGTTTCCAAAGTCTTGGGTCTGGTCTGATTAAAAGTCCAAGCCTATAATATCAGTACTTGGAAGTAGAAACAAGGGGATCAGGAGTTCAAAAGCAGGCTCAGCTACTTGAAAACCTGTTATATTATTATTATTATTATTTTAAAAACTCTTGATATTTTAAAAAAGGGCCTTGGGAGGTAGCTCAATGGTAGAGTAGTAACAGTGCCTAGCATCTGTGAAAGACCTGGGTTCAAACATTACCACCGCAAAGGAAACCCAAAAAAGATTCCAGGAAAAAACAAAAGCCTACTCTAATAAATAGAAGTGACTCTTGTCAAATCCTAGGTATAGACTACACATGCACATTGAATTTAAAAACACAATCTTACTCTATGATAAAGTGTTTTCTAAAAATGGTTATTAACAAGAACAGTGAGAGTTATTCCTGCAGACAGAAGAGTGCTGGGAAGGACGCTCTGAAACTAAGCTTCAGTCCTGGCTCTGCTACTGTTAGCTGTCTGCCATCTAAGCTTTAGTGTCCTCATTTGTAATTAAGAGACACAATATTTACTTCATAAAGTTAGCTGTGAGGATTAAATGACAAAGCATCTGTACCTCCCCTTGCTGGCACTTCATAAATGACAGCCATTAGCATTTCCGTTGTCTTGAGTTCAACATGGACTTAGAGAGGTGATTATGATAATTAAATAAAGTGTGACCACACGACTGCCAGCCCAATAAATGTCCTTCCTTTGGGAATGAAGCTTCCGCAACAAAGCTTCGACTTTTCCAATGCAAAGAGATGTTTATTTATAACAAACACAATTCAGAGCTTCTGCATTTTAACTTTATATTTTGAGCTACAGATAAACCAATCTTCCAGATTCCATCTATTTCACGAATCCAAATTCTTGAGGCCCACTCAATAGGCAGGAAACCATGCCTGGTCTTAGAAATCTAAGGTCATGGATATTAGAAGAGAACTTACTACTGCTATTACCAGACCAGCACAATTCCTAACTGCATTCTAAAACTTCTCCTTATACTCACAGGTAGGTGCAGCTCTCACCTCTCAAGAAGCTTCTCTTTACAGAAAATGGAGACCATTACGGAAAATCACAACTGGTCATAATGCAGAGATCAACAGAATGTGGGGAACTCAGTTAAATATCTATAACACAACTCCTGCACTGAAGGTTCAGGAAACATGGAGGGAGAGGAGGCATAGAGAGGTAAAGAGCCAGAGGACCAAGGAGATTGAATCTCAGAAATAACAGGGAAGGTACACTGATGTTCCTAAATAACATCAATAATATGGCTGCCCAAACAAGATCTGAATAATGACAATATTAACAGACATGATAATGGTGTAGGGCTCAATTTAACCTGGTCTCACCCCTAGACAAATAACAACTAGTGACTACTGAGAAAGGGAGAATTAGCTTTTACAGGGATGAGATCCTTAAGTGGTCAGCCCTAATATCATTTAACCATATACACATAGGCCATACTAAATGGACTCAGCAAGTTGTGTGTGTGTGTGTGTGTGTGTGTGTGTGTGTCTCTAACAATAACAGTCAAAGAAAAAGAGGTCATCAGTTTGAGAGGGCGTGGGAAGTGACATAAGAAGGCTGGGAGAGGAGACATGAGAGGGGATGAAGATAGAGGAAAGGAAAATGGGAAGTGACACAATTGTATTTCAATTAAATTTTAATAAAAATTAAAAAAAATAAAGATTTCAGATGGGTGGTGGTGGCGCAAACCTTTAATCCCAGCACTTAGGAGGCAGAGGCATATGGATCTCTGAGTTTGAGGCTATCCTAATCTACAGAGCGAATTCCAGGACAGTCAGGGCTACACAGAGAAACCCTGTCTTGAAAAACAACAAACAAAACCCCAATGATTTCATCATGTGAAAAAAAAAATCCAGTGAATAGGGACGTGAGCAGCAGTGCTACTCTATGCAGCGCATTCACAGGCCTTCTCTGCCCACTGGATCTCCAGTGACTCCCTCCACCATCATTTCCAACCTGCTTTCCTGTTCTTACTGGAGTTACATGACTGGCCAGGACCTCTTACAGACGTTGTCATTTGTTTTCTTTGTTAGAATACAACCTTTTTGGGGAGGGACGTGATCTACATTGATCACAGCTCTCTATTATTTAGAATAGGGTCTGGATGAATTCAGTACTGAATTTAGTCAAAGAACACACTCATGGCTCTTACTATATTAAACAAACTGTTGGAACTCACAATCCCACGAAATCCTACAATCTCAATTTTTTAGGGGAACAGAGAAGCCCAAAAGAATTAAGTAGCTTGCCAAATATCTTCCAGCTGATAAATGCCAGTGATGATCTGAGATCCTGATCATCTGTTTTGTTCTTAAGTTCATGCTCTTCCCCAGTATCTCTGATGGAGTGGAAGACATCAAAATTACGGAGTGAAGTCTGACACAGACTCTTGAATTTGGAGTTACAAAAGACAGAAGAGAGTAAAAGGAAGCGAGGTGCTGGTGAGGAAAGCAGGATCCCTAGGCAGCAGCGAGTTTAAAGAGGCCAGTGGAGGAGGGAGGTCATCAGCAGTGTCTCCATTGCACTTAGTGCTCTTCCTGTGTGACTGCAGGGTTAGGTCTTACTGCCTAAGCTGGAAAACTGGCTACTTTAATCATCATCCATTAAGGATTTCTCCCTTCCTCGATCATATTGTCTACAGAGGTACCATTTACTGGTTCTGATGCAAAAGAAGAAACATGAGATGTCTTGTAGTTTCAAACTCAAGGATGTAGTGATGTATTTACTATGCAAAATGTACATGTCAGG